CTGACCCTGTCCCTGCTCCTGGCCTTGTCCCCAGTCCCTTCCTCCCGTTCCCCACCATCCCATCCGTGTCCCCATCCCCTTCCTCCTGTCCCTGCCACCCTGTCCCCAGCTCCCTCCTGCTCTCCGTGTCCCCAATCCCTTTCTCCTGTTCCCACCAATTTGTCTCTGTCCCTCTGCCATGTTGTCCTTGTCCCCAACCCCTTCCTGTTCTCCCTTGTCCCCATCTCTTCCTGTCCCCAGCTCCCTCTTGCTCTCCTTGTCCCCAATCCCTTTCTCTCATTCCCAACAATTTGTCTCTGTCCCATTGCCATGTTGTCCTTGTCCCCATCTCTTCCTGTCCCCTGCCACCCTGTCCCCAGCTCCCTCCTGCTCTCCTTGTCCCCAGTCCCTTTCTCCTGTTCCCACCCATTTGTCTCTGTCCCCCTGCCATGTTGTCCTTGTCCCCAGTCCCTTCCTCCTCTCCTTGTCCCCATCTCTTCCTGTCCCCTGCCACCCTGTCCTGGCTCCCGTCCTGCTCTCCTTGTCCCCAATTCCTTTCTCCCGTTCCCACCCATGTGTCCCCCTGCCATGTTGTCCTTGTCCCCAGTCCCTTCCTCCTCTCCTTGTCCCCATCTCTTCCTGTCCCCTGCCACCCTGTCCTGGCTCCCGTCCTGCTCTCCTTGTCCCCAATTCCTTTCTCCCGTTCCCACCCATGTGTCCCCCTGCCATGTTGTCCTTGTCCCCAGTCCCTTCCTCCTCTCCTTGTCCCCATCTCTTCCTGTCCCCTGCCACCCTGTCCTGGCTCCCGTCCTGCTCTCCTTGTCCCCAATTCCTTTCTCCCGTTCCCACCCATGTGTCCCCCTGCCATGTTGTCCTTGTCCCCAGTCCCTTCCTCCTCTCCTTGTCCCCATCTCTTCCTGTCCCCTGCCACCCTGTCCTGGCTCCCGTCCTGCTCTCCTTGTCCCCAATTCCTTTCTCCCGTTCCCACCCATGTGTCCCCCTGCCATGTTGTCCTTGTCCCCAGTCCCTTCCTCCTCTCCTTGTCCCCATCTCTTCCTGTCCCCTGCCACCCTGTCCTGGCTCCCGTCCTGCTCTCCTTGTCCCCAATTCCTTTCTCCCGTTCCCACCCATGTGTCCCCCTGCCATGTTGTCCTTGTCCCCAGTCCCTTCCTCCTCTCCTTGTCCCCATCTCTTCCTGTCCCCTGCCACCCTGTCCTGGCTCCCGTCCTGCTCTCCTTGTCCCCAATTCCTTTCTCCCGTTCCCACCCATGTGTCCCCCTGCCATGTTGTCCTTGTCCCCAGTCCCTTCCTCCTCTCCTTGTCCCCATCTCTTCCTGTCCCCTGCCACCCTGTCCTGGCTCCCGTCCTGCTCTCCTTGTCCCCAATTCCTTTCTCCCGTTCCCACCCATGTGTCCCCCTGCCATGTTGTCCTTGTCCCCAGTCCCTTCCTCCTCTCCTTGTCCCCATCTCTTCCTGTCCCCTGCCACCCTGTCCTGGCTCCCGTCCTGCTCTCCTTGTCCCCAATTCCTTTCTCCCGTTCCCACCCATGTGTCCCCCTGCCATGTTGTCCTTGTCCCCAGTCCCTTCCTCCTCTCCTTGTCCCCATCTCTTCCTGTCCCCTGCCACCCTGTCCTGGCTCCCGTCCTGCTCTCCTTGTCCCCAATTCCTTTCTCCCGTTCCCACCCATGTGTCCCCCTGCCATGTTGTCCTTGTCCCCAGTCCCTTGGGTATCCTGAAACCCTATAGCACCCTGTGGGAGACCCCTAAGCCCTCCTAGGGCACCCTATGGGGTATCCCGAGACCCTATAGCACCCTGTGGGAGACCCCCAGGCCCTCCTAGAGCACCCTATGGGGTATCCTGAGACCCTATAGCACCCTGTGGGAGACCCCCAGACCCTCCTAGAGCACCCTATGGGCGACGCAGAGACCCTATAGCACGCCCTGTGGGAGACCCCTACACCCTCCTAGAGCACCCTATGGGGCATCCTGAGACCCTATAGCACCCTGTGGGAGACCCCCAGGCCCTCCTAGAGCACCCTATGGGGTATCCCGAGACCCTATAGCACCCTGTGAGAGGCCCCTGGGCCCTTCTAGAGCACCCTATGGGGTATCCTGAGACCCTATAGCACCCTATGGGAGACCCCTAGGCCCTCCTATAGCACCCTATGGGGTATCCTGAGACCCTATAGCACCCTGTGGGAGGCCCCTGGGCCCTCCTATAGCACCCTATGGGGTATCCTGAGACCCTATAGCACCCTGTGGGAGGGCCCCAGGCCCTCCTAGAGCACCCTATGGGGCATCCTGAGACCCTATAGCACCCTGTGGGAGGCCCCCAGGCCCTCCTAGAGCACCCTATGGGGTGCCGTGAGACCCTATGGACTGTCCCAAGAGGTTCTACGGCACCAGGACACACTAGAGTGTCCCACAGGTGGCCCTGAACCCCCCATGACACCTATAGGGACCCTGTGAGCTCCTGGGGCACCCCCAAGAGCCCCTACACTCCGTAGGGCACCCCAAGAGCCTGCAAGACCCCTTGGGCACTCCGAGACCCCCCTATATTGATGCACCTGGTATCCTGGGACCCTATAGCACCCCATGGGTGTCCCGAGACCCTCTCAACAACCCCACAGGGCACCCTAAGAGCCTGCAGGACCCCACGGAGCACCCCAAACCCCCCCGTAGGACCCCAAACCACCCCGAGGCCTCGCAGCACCCGCTGGGACCCTATAGAACCCCCTATGGGGACACCCGGAGCCCCCCGGCACCCAAGGGGCACCCTGAGATGCCCCCAGATGAGGGGACCCCCCCCCGCACCCACCTTTGGGCCCCTGCACCTTGACGTCGAGGGGGGCGACGCCGGCCTTGCTGGTGTCCACGGTGAAGGTCTGCGGCACGTTGGCGCGCACGGCGCCCGGCGTGAGCCCCGGCCCCGCGCACTTCACCTTGGACGAGTCCACCACGGCCGTGACCGGCACCTTGAAGGGGCTCCCTGCGCGGGGACGGGGACCGTGAGCGCCCGGGCCCCCACAAAGCGCCCCCCGCAACGGGGCCCGCACGCGCCCG